GAGCTCGACTATCAAATACCAAGCTTGAGCTCGACTTGAGCTCAAAATCCAAGCCCGAGCTTGAGCTCGACTCGTCTTTGTGTAGAGCGGCTCGTTGAGATCAATCAATTTTTTTATTTCCCGCTTACTTGGATTTCCATGCTTCATGGATTTGTATTTCCCTCCCGTGAGTTTCGCCGTTGACTCCATCATCCCGAGCTCATCCCGTCACGTTTGTCGTCATCTAGCTATAAAATTCCCACTTTTAAGATCGTCGTCGAGCTCGAAATTTCCAGCTATTGAGATCGTTGTCGAGCTCGAAACTTCCCGCTATCGAGAACGTCGTTGAGCTCGTCCCGTCATCTGCATCATTGTCATCACGTCGTCGAGATCGATCATTTTTTTTTTATTTCCCGCTGACTTGGATTTCCCGCTTCATGGATTTGTATTTCCCTCCCATGAGTTTCGCCGTCGAGCTGCTCGACGAGTTGAGGAGTCGAGCAGTAGCCTATTCGAGCTCGAGCTCAAACTCAATAAGTCGTCGAGCTCGAAATCATGTTCGAGCTCGACTCGTCGAGCCGGTAACCGAGTCGAGTCCGAGCCTACGCAAGTCGGCTGGACTCGTTTACACCCCTAGCTGGCACCTGATATCCTGAGCAGCAGATAAGTCGCCAATTTAACAAACCACTTTGCCTAATTTTAAAGTTTTTATTTTTTACAATGATTAATCACATTATTAAAATTATAATAATACTTTAAAAAATTTCCCCTGGTCCATTGCGTTTATGGACGAACAGGAGGCCGAGCTTGAGCGGAGGGAGGCGGCCCTTGCCGCCACTCCAATCCTCCAACCTGATTTCAGGTCGTCGAAGGTCACTCAGTCTCAACTCGACAAGTTCAAGGTATGTTCTTCTCTTCTATCAATCGCATCAGCACTTTCAGAAGTTTTCCTTCCGTTACTGAATTTGTTTTTGGGTTCTTCTCAATGAAACAGCTAAACCTTTCATTGTTCTTATCCAAAAGCGGGGTTTTGTTATGAAGTACTTATTCTTTCTTTTATTAATGAGGTTTTCCTGAACCATTCTTGTGCGGCTGGATTCTTTTAGGTTGATCAATTTGGAATTCATTGCTAGCCAGATAAGGAACTGAACATTTAGGGTTTTGTTATGCTTTAGTTCTTGCTTGTGAAGATTCTCCCTTTTTGTTCTGTGGTTTTCTTTGATATGAGGGTTTTGAATTGTAAGAATGATACTAAGAACACGTAGATGCAATGATTACTAGTTTGTTTGTTTGATATAAATGTCATTAATATGCAAGCATAATTCTTTTTTAATTTTGCAAATTAGGGCATCTCCAACCTAAAAACTCATTTTTCACTCCAAATGAATTAATACACCAATATGCAGTAACTTGTCTCCAACCGAACTCTATTTTCTAACACCAAAAAAAGAATATTCATAGTATATTCTTTTTCATACTTAAAATTTTAAAATTAATAATCAAATTTTCAAATTAAAAAGAAAATCATATAGCGGGTGAATAGTGCAACACCAATATTGACGTCGCACTTTTCACCTGCAAGCAAATAGTGGAAGATTTGTTGTTCGGCTGGAGCGACCGAATGCGCCATACCCATTTTTGGTGTTCGGTTGGAGAGGCTCACCGTATTGACTGCATTTGGAAGTTAGGAAGGTAGTGTTGAGGAAAAAAAACTGAAATTTTTTTTCTGTTCATGGCTTTATTTAAGTATAATTATTGATTATAACACAATCTATAATGCGTTCAGTTGATGCTTATGAGGTAAAATGTAGTACTATTTTCTGTATTTGATTCAGTTTCTTGCCTTCTTAATGTCACAGGAGCTGAACAAGAGAAGATTACAGCTAAAAGAGAAGTCTAAGGATATAGGAAAGCCTAAAGGTTTCTTTTTTGTGCTTTCTATAGATGAAACAGATAATTTTCTACCCCTTATGACAGGGCTTCTTTAGGTAAAGCAAGCCAAGCTGTGAAGGCATGCTCGGGTCTTATGGAAGATGGCTGCAAAAGCAAGCTTGCAAATAACACCATTGAAGCATCAAATCTGTCAGCTGCGAAGGGAAAGGTTATTTTCGTAATGCTTTGAATTCCCTTCTTTTATAAAACTCTAGTTTTCAGGCATATGAGTTGCATGCCTAAGGTTGAATTAGAAATTTAATTAAAATAATAGGCAAAAAGCTTTTTTGTTAAGAATAACAGTCAAACAGGAAATCCTTTTTTGATGAAAAAAAGAGTATGTGCTTCTTGACAAGATATACAAAAAGTGATATGGGAAAGGGAGAAGCACATATGTACCTTCATTGGGCTATGGATAAGGGGTTATTTGGTTGCAAGTATTAGTAATGTAGATTAAATCAAATGCAGGGGTTTTTTGAAATTTCATGTGCTTGGTTGGAAGAAAAGTAAAGGCAAAGTAATTTTTTTGAGATATTTGAAATTATCGGCCTAGTTCATTTTTAATTTATTTGGAATTCGCTCGATTTGGTGAGTTCCAAATACATTGTGTGTATGAAGCTTTGCTTATTGCTGTCGGGCGCCAACTACTGCCTATCATTGTTTGCCACCATTGTTGTCAGCCACCGTCGTCGCTTGCTGCTAGCAATTACCCTCTATCACTAGCCATCGTCGTAGCATGCCTCCTGTTACTATCACTGCCCAAATCCAAAAATATTAGTTTTATTTTGCAAGTAATCAAACACAAAAAATTAAACTTTTGAATTTCTTTTACAAGCAAACAAACTTCTCAAAATATTTCAAATATATGATTTTACTTTACATTATATTTTGAATACATGGAATTTCTTAATACTTGCAATCAAACAACCCCTAAGAGAGAAACATATCCACACTTTCAATATATTGTATTTTCCATATGTAAACACAACAAAAAACATGTAGGGATGCCTAAGATACCCTCACTTCTGCGGTGATGGTATGATCTCAGCACCTGCACTTCTAACTTGGTGGTAGCTTAATCCTTTAAATCTCTAAGTCAACTCCTTGGTTCTTAATTTTTGCTGTCATAATAATTTTTTTTAGAATAGAAATCTACAATGTTTCCATGGCTTATCAAGCTTAACCAAATTTAGAGTCTTCTTTTGGAATAGTCTTAGTAATTAGCGGAAATTATAAAAATGTTTTTTTATTTCAAGCAAAATTAAACCAATAATTATGTTATACCAAGCTGATTCTGAAATGGAGGAAACTTTGACTAGCTTGGTAATTTTTGTTGAAATCCAGCCATTCCCAGTACAAAGGATCCGATGGTCACAGAAGTCAATCCGTGGGAAGCTCTCATGGATTACGCCATAATGAAGGAACTACTTTAGGAAAGTGTATTTTATGTATTAAATATGTAATTTGTTGTTTCCTCATTAAGATATATTGTATAGATCTATAAATAGGGAATATATTACGAAATAAAGTCAAACTTTTCCCTCTCAAATTCTCATTTTAACATGGTATCAGAGCCTACGGCCTTCATTGCCGAGGAAGATTGATCGTAGGTCGTCAAAGGAGAAAAGAAGAAGAAGAGAATCGGAGCTACCAAGCCGACCGACATCTCCTTGCGGTCTCCAGTAGACCGAAAGATAGGCACGCAGAACGCAAGAGCCCTTCAAGCCGAAGAAGAAGCCATGTCCTGACGTAGCCCCGTGTAGTCAAACAACCAAGGAGCCCGATTCGACAAGAAGGGAAGATCGTCGAAGGAGAGGAGCGTAGTCGAGCAGCCGTCAAGCATCCTGATTCGACAGGAAGGGAAGATCATCGAAGGCGCGTGCAACCTGATCTGACCGGAAGGGAAACTCGACAAAGAAGCCTCCTGCGAACCAAGGAAGCCAATCAGCTCCTGCGAACCAAGGAAGCTGAGCGGCTCCCTGCGTGCGTGCCCTAGCTGAGTCTTTTAAAGACTTGGATCGGTTCGATCCTGAAAACTCATTCTATCAAAAATAAAAATCCCTTTCGACCTTTATTTTCGAATAAAAAAAAAATTATTGGGAAGCCTTCATTGCTACCAGATAGTCTTAATCACCATCATAATGTCAGAAATCAATTTCTCGCAAAGCATTGACCAAACTGAGGAGTCGATGGTGCACCAAGGATGAGGTGACCTCCAAAGTATGCAACCTTCCTATCGTCTCAACGGGAAGAACTACCTAAAGTGGTCTCAATTTGTGAAGACCTATTTAAAGGGGAAAAGAAAAATACATTACCTTCTTGGAGGAGGACCAAAATAAGGAGATCTTACTTTTGGGGCATGGGATGAAGCAGACTCCATGATTATGTCATGGTTGTGGAATTCCATGACTCCTGAAATTAGCGATACATTTATGTTCCTTTCCATTGCAAAGGACATATGGGATGCTGCCAGACAGACCTTCTCCAAAGCTCGTGATGCGGCTCAAATATTTTGAAATTAAAGTCAAAGTTGGAAGCATAAAGCAAGGGAGTAAGACCACGACAGAGTATGCCAGAAGATGCTGCGATCCTAAAGAACTTTATTGAAAAAGATAGAATTTATGATTTTCTTGTGGGACTAAATACAGAATTTGATCAAGTTATAGTCCAGATCCTTGGCAAAGAGGAGATCCCATCACTCAATGAAACCATTTCTCTCATACAGGCAAAAGAAAATCAACGAGGAGTAATGTTTGAACGAAAGGTCGTTGAAAGTTCAACAATGGTGATGAATAAAGAATCGTCATGAAAGGAGAAAGATAAAGATTCTTCAAAATTCAAAGACAGACTCACTTTGGTGTAATTATTGCAAAAAGTCTAGACGCGCAAAGGAAACATGCTGGAAAATACATGAAAACCCCCCAGCAAGGAGTGGAATAAAAAAGGTGAAACAAGGAGCACATCGCATGCCAACAATACTACAAGTCATCCCACCGCAGGAGCATAGTCCAACCTTGGAGAATTCAATAAAGAGGATATTGATAAATTGAAACTACTCCTATTATCTATTGAAAAATCAAATGCATTTTCTTCACTTGCACTCTCAGGTAAGACTCCTATTTCTATTAGTTTAAGTGCTTCTAGAAAACATTTAAAGGAATTATGGATCATTGATTCAGGAGCCACAAATCATATGACCCACTCACCTATTCACTTCATAAACTATGCTCCTTGCCTGAACAACAAGAAAATCATCACTGCTGATGGTTCTCTTACTACGGTAGTAGGTCAAGGAGACATAAGATTATCTCCCTCACTCATCCTAAAAAATATGCTCCACATACCATAATTATCCATAAACCTAATATCAATACAAAAACTTACCAATGACTATAATTATCAAGCCTTATTTAACCCTACTTATTGCTTATTTAAGGACCAGAGATCGGGGAAGAGGATTGGACTTGCTAAGGAGAAAACATGATTATAAGAAGCAAACAAATCTAAAAATAGTTGCTTTATGTTATCCCTAATTGATAAGAATTATCATTTGGCTTCATTATTATAGGTTAGGACACCCATCTTTTGATATCCTAAGACATATGTATCCCCAACTTTTTCAAAAATTAGAAAATAAAAATTTTCATTATGAAACTGATGCGGGCCGCCGCCGACCGGTAGAGGGAGGGCCGGCGACCCCGGAGCGCTCGGAAGCGGCCGGAAAGGAGGGCCGCGTCGGCCGATCCCCCGAAGGATCGCGCGAAGGGACGCGGGCACGGAGCTTGACACAGAGCGGAGCGGGGGCTTCGGCTTGAGCGGAACCGGTCCATTTCTGGACCGGTTTGGCTCGGGTCAGCCCCTAGCTGGGCGGTTCAGTTTGGGCAGCCCACTAGTGGGTTTGGTTTGGTCTTTTGCTTGCTATAAGTAGGGATTAAGGGGGGATTTCTAGGGTTATGCAAGATTTGAGTTTTCTCTTAGCCTCCTTAGTTTCTTTCTCTTGTTTTTCTAGGGTTTGTAGTGGGAGACCTTGTCCTTCTCGAAGTGGACAAATTGTATCTTGTTTCTCTTGGATTTTGAATGCAAAGGTTCTTGTTCTTCCTCTCATCCCTCTTGTGTTGATTTTTTAATGGATTTGGAGGAGAAATTTCATCTTTGGAAGAGCATTAGGGCAAACCCTAACTTGGGAACCCTAGGGCGTATCAGAAACCTGTGAGTTGGCTAAATATAAAAGAATCTTCTTCCCAAACAAAAGTGAAAGATGTAATGCTCCTTTCTATGTTATTCATAGTGATATATGGGGACCCTAAAAAATTCTCAATATCTCTAGGGCACGCTGGTTTGTGTCATTCATTGATGATTGCACTAGAGTCTCTCGGATCTATTTCCTTAAAAATAAATATGATGTTAGCACCATTCTTTCCATCTTTCATACCATGATCAAAAATCAATTCGGGGTAAAAATAAAGAGATTTCACTCTGATAATGCTAAAGATTATTTCAACCAAACTCTTTCCTCCTACTTTCAAAGTGAAGGGATTATCCATGAGTCATCCTATGTCCACACCCCACAACAAATGGGATTACAGAGAGAAAAAATGGTTACCTTCTAGCCTCCATCCGAGCTTTCCTATTTCACTACAATACGCCCAAATCCTATTGGGGGGAAGCTCTCCTAATTACAACCTATCTCATAAACTGACTACCTTCGACAACCATAGGATTCAAAACTCCAATGGAGATTTTGTCCTCCTTCTACCCCGAGTTTCGAACCCATCATAATATTACGTTAGAAATCTTTGGATGTACTACCTATAATCATATTCACAACCAAGACAGAGAAAAATTAGATCCAAGAGCACTCAAATGCATCTTTGTTTGCTATTCAGCTACCCAAAAAGATTATAAGTGTTATCATCTACCCACAAGAAAAATTCTTAACTCTATTGATATTACATTTGACGAGTGAAATCTCTATTTTTTCAAAAACTCATCTTCAGGGCGGGACTGAACATGAGGAAGATGAGAAAAATGAACTAGCACCTCTTGACCTTCCTCCACCACCTCAAACCATTCCACCATAAACCCAATCTAGGGAAACAAATGACAAAGTTGTCATTAGATTTAGGAAGGTTTACTCCAGAGTACAAGCTCAAGTTGTGCTCTAAAGTAGATCCAAGAATCTGAACCATCTCCTGAAAATAAGGTAAGCTCACCACCTCCCTTGTACCCTATAAATAACTCTATATCCTTCAATAACTTCTCATCCTCACACAAAAATTTCCTGGTTATATTTAGAATATATCCATATTCCTAAGAATATTTCTGAGGCCTTATCTGATAAAAATTGGAAAAATGACATGAAAGATGAAATATATGCCCTAGAAAAGAACAATACCTGGAAGATCGTCAACCTACTGAAAGGGAAAAAATCGGTCGTTTGCAAATTGGTGTTCTCAGTAAAATGCAAAGCTAAGGGCATGTTAGAAAGATATAAGGCAAGACTTGTGACTAAAGGGTACATTTAAACATATGACATTGACTATCAAGTAACTTTTATTCCTGTAGCCAAGATGAATACTGTCATAATACTACTTTCACTTACAGTCAAATACAACTAGCATTTGGAACAATTGGATGTGAAAAACACATTCCTACATGGGGATCTGGAAGAAGAGATATTCATGAAATTACTACCAAATTTAAATCTGAAGGTAACAGAGTGTGCAGAATAAAAAAGGCTCTATATGGGCTCAAACAATCACCAAGGGTCTGGTTGGAAGATTCTCTAAATTCATGCTCCTTAATGGGTATCGACAGAGTCAAGGGGATCATACATTATTCTTTAAACACTCAGACTCAGGGGGAGTCACAATATTATTGGTATATGTTGATGACATTATCTTGACTGGAGATAACGAAGAGGAGAAAGTTAGTTTAAGAAAACGTCTTGCTAAGGAATTTGACATCAAAGAACTTGATAGACTAAAATAGTTTCTTGAAATTAAAGTAGCTCACTCCAGTAAAGAAATATTTATTTCACAGCAGAAATACATCAAAGATCTTTTGAATGAAACAGGAAAACTAGCTTGTAAACCAGCACCAGTAGAACCTAATCTTAAACTGGGGGAAGCTAGAGAGGATCCAGATGTAGATAAAGGGGCCTACCAGAGACTTGTAGGAAAGTTAATCTACCTTTCCCATACTAGACTAGATATAACATTTGTTGTAAGTATGGTCAGTCAGTTTATGTAGAATTCAATGCATGTTCACATGCAAGCAATAGACAGGATATTGCACTACCTTAAAGAAAATCCAGGAAAAGGGATTCTCTTTAAGAGAGATCGCAGAATAACCCTAGAAGCATAAACAAATGCTGACGATGTGGGATCACCTGTTGACAGAAGATCTACATATGGATGCTGCACATTTCTTGGAGGTAACCTAGTTACATGGAGAAGTAATAAATAAAATGTGGTGGCAAGATCTAGTGCAGAAGCAGAATATCGAGCTATGGCCTTGGGAATATGTGAGCTACTATGGATCAAAATAATCCTAAAAGACTTAAAAATCAAGTGGGATGAGCCCATAAAGCTACATTGTGACAACAAATCAGCAATCAGCATAGCTCACAATCCAGTCCAGCATGACAGGACCAAGCACATAGAAGTGGACAGACATTTTATTAAAGAAAAACTAGACAGTGGTCTAATAAGTGTCGACCATATATCATTAAAAGATCAACTTGCAGACATCCTTACCAAAGGATTGGACAGCTCTGCCTTTCTCAGAATGATTGACAAGCTGGGAATGACAGATTCATATTTCCCAACTTGAGGGGGAGTGTTGAAATCCAGCCGTTCCCAGTAAAAAGGATCTGACGGTCACAAAAGTCAATCCGTGAGAAACTCTCACGGATTACGCCATAATGAAGGAACTACTTTAGGAAAGTGTATTTTATGTATTAAATATCTAATTTGTTGTTTCCTCATTAAGATATTTTGTATAGATCTATAAATAGGGAAAATATTACGGAATAAAGTCAAGCTTTTCCCTCTCAAATTCCCGTTTTAATAATTTTTATTGGATAAATTTAAGATGAGAAAGAATTGTTACTCTTATGCTATAAGGTTCTTGGAATTTCACCAAGAAGATGACCCCTTATACTTTCTAGGGTTATGAAAATGGTTGATTGGACTAGTTCAGTGTTTGAATAGACATATGCTGATTTAGTTTTCTCGGTTTCATTCCAAATGAGGATGAACTATCAGTCTTATGCTAATAGAGTTCTTCTAGGTGTTTTAAGAAGTAAGGCTCTCTTTTTCTAGGGTTATGAAAATAAAAAAGAAACTCCCATTGCTCATTATTTCAATTTATTTAATGAGGAAAGTTAATGAAAAAAAGTTTCCACAAACCTAATTGTGGATACCTTGAAGCCACACTACAAAATCAAGTAATTAAAATGACATCTAAACAAAATCTAGAGCTGACAATGTGTAAAGAACTTTTATATATTGATCTAGCGCACCAACGTGTACTTTTACTTATATTATGTGCAATTTACAAAATTTTATTGTATCATGAACATGGCTTCAACATATCGAATAATTCCTAAAATCCATCAATAGGTGGGTTCATATAATTTATTATCTATCATTGATAAGGTTAAAAACAATTGTTGTAATTAAGTGTCCATTCATGAGCTTTCTTCCTGATATTAATTGAGGGGTGAGTCTCTCAATTGCATTGAAAAGGTGGAAGGATGCCCCAACATATTCAATTGGAGCTGCTTTATGAGCAATTCAAGATGTAGAGCTAAAGCATGTGCAGGCACATGCCATTACCTAGGTGATGTGATACAAGATAAAAGTGTCAAGGGTCTTATGGATTAAAATATTGCTTTGAAGTGGGAACATCATGAAGAGAGAGATTGTTAAGTAATGAGAAATGATGCAAATTTATTAGAAGATGGTTTAAAATAAAGAGTAGAGAAGATTAAGAATTGGTTATCTTAAATCTCACACTTGATAAGGACATCACATTACAAGTTCTTCAAGCTTCATTTTTGGTGCGTGCATCACATCCAAAGCAAAATAACTTTTGTCACTGATAAATCATCATTGAGTCTATAATTCTAAGGATCCCTTATTTAGAGTAGAGTGCTAATAATAAACCAACAAACTCAATACAAATGAAAAGATCAAGCGTATATGCATGTTTTAGAACTCTACTGATTTGATTAGGCTAGTAGGCTGTAATATTTAGTTTTCTACAAGTGAGTAGGGATCTTGTAGGCATAATATGCAACATATAAAATCCTTTACTATAGCTTCAAGCACTAGTTGGAATATATACAACAACAAGCTATTGTCCCTTTATATGGGGTTGGCTACATGAATTCTTTTTCCCTATTAAGAGCCATATTCTCATTTAAATCTAACAAAAAAGTTATTATTAATACTTTCTAACTAATTCTTTTAGGTTTACTTCTACCTTTCTTAATATAGTTCGAATCTAATAGATCTACTTTCCTAACAGGGTCATCAGAAGGCCAACATTCTATGTAATCAAATCATCTAAGACGACTCTCTCTAATCTTATCTATAACATTAGAGCTACTCTAACCTTTTTACGTATATACTTATTTCGCATTTTGTCTCTAAGTGTAAAACCACTCATCCACCATCTTATAAAATTTTCACTTAAGTATGAGGGATACTTTTCTATCACACAAAAGGCGTGATGTATTCCTCTACTTCAACCATCCAATTTTAGTTCTTCCAATAATATCCCTAACTATTTCACCATCACTTTGAACAATAGACTCGAGATATCTAAAACCTACACTCATTTTTATGACTTGATCACCCAATGTCACAATCCCACAACTAGATCTATTACTACTCAATTTACACTCCATGTATTCGATTTTAGATCTACTCAATCGAAAACCTTAAGACTTTTAAGTTTTACCTCCATAATTCAAGTTTTCATCAACTTCATCCTAGTCTTATTAATAAGAAGAATATCATTAGCAAAAAGCATACACCAAGGTACATCCTCTTGTAAATGTCCACTAAGAACATCCATGACTAAATAAAAAATATACGAGTTTAAATTTGATCATTGATATAATCCAACTGAAATAGAAAAACATTTGGTCAAATCACGTTGTGTTTGAACACAAATAACAACTCTTGAATGCATATCTTTAATGAATTGAATATAAGCATTATTAACCCTTTTCTTTTCTAGAACTCTCCAGAACACTTCTCTTGAAACTTTGTTCAATTAATCTGTTTGTGAAATCTGGAATCAGGTCAACAGCTATCAGTTTGCTTTTCAAAGTTTTCTAGTATTTTTTCTTTGCTAAATAGCAAAGCAAAGTCAAAATTTCGTCTTTCTTCCCTTTCTTTTCCCTATATGTTTGGGCAGAAAGGCCATCAAATGCTCTTCTTCGTGTAGCTAATTTTATTTAATTTTATCAGGATGATGTGGTAGCTACTGTGCCGAAAAAGAAAAAGAAGTTACGTTGGGGCCTTGAAGCAAAGGAAAGATGGGAGCGGAAATCCAACATGTAGCTTAAATTAACTTTATTTTCCACTTTACAATGTGTTAGGCGAGCATTTCTATGTGATTAATTACTTTTATGTCTTCTTGAACAAAAACGATATTGATATCGCAAACTCTATGGTTATTGTGACCTCTTATTGCAAGCATAAGGATTGATTTCAAAGTCTTTTGCGCTGCAATCCCCATGAATGGCATGACTGAGCTACCTGGTTTCTTGTCCATGTGATATAGGTCCACTACAATCCATTCATAAGCCAGTACCTACACACACACACTAACAATATAGGGGCAGAATTAGGTGTTATAGTGTGAGAAGAAAAAGAGTTTACCCTAACTTTTTGGGGCAAAATTTTTATAATATATATATATTATTATGTTGGATTATATATTATTATGTAGGATATTTCTGAAATCTAAAGGGGTGCGAGCGCCACCTCTAGCCTTTCTTGATTCCACTATTGCTATTAGGATATGCATTTTACAAAATGAAAATTATAATCAGCAATTTGGCGGCCAAAATAAGACGCATAATTCCAAAGAAGACATACGTATTATACAAAATGGTCATACGCCCGCAAAACTATCAAGAGAGTGAGGTGTGTTAAGTAATTTAGGAGGATCTTTGAGAGCTCATCTTGAGCTCTTCTTGCAAGAGAGGGAGAGGGAGAGGGAGGAGAGAGAGATGTAGAATTTGGAGGAGGAAAATCTATCTTAAAGCTTTATTAAAAATTTCCCCCCAAATCTTCATATCACATAAGCATCCTATTTATAGGAATTTACAATGGTGTGATAAAATATAGGAATAACCTAAATAAAACTGGGCCAACACATCACAATCTCCACATTGGTTCATATTTATAATTAAAGAACCACAAGTGCACCTCTCAAGATCTAACTAAATCTTTAAAACAGAAGCAATTGGAAACAATAAATCGGGTCAGCCAGGGCGCATAGCCCCAAAATCAAGAGCAATAACACGTATCAACAAACAAAACCTTCTAATCTACAAGGAGAAAAAACACATGTACTTCCAGCATTCAGCTAAGGAATAAGATCTTACGGTGCCAACAGGCTTCCAACCGATAATCACGACCTATTGTCTTTCTCAGAGATGAAGAACAAGCGAGAGGAGAACAATAGGGGTTTACCTTCTTCAGACACACAGAAATACTAATATTTCACCTCCCCACATTTTCTCTTTTTCACAAGAAGCCCAAAACAACCTTTAACAAAGATCTAGCCCTTTCTTGCTCTCACACCCGCTTACAACATAAAACTTTCTTCCAACTGACAATCCTTCTCAATTGTCTTTCTTGAAGAAGAAGAACAAGATATAGGAGAACAAGAAGGGTTCACCTTCTTTACACACACACAGAAATTCCAAGATTTCACCGCCTCTCTCTTCTTCCTCCTCACTCAAGAAGCCAAGACGACCCAATCCCGAAACCTTCCCCTTCAGATGGCTCCCGCTCTCAAAAAAACCTCAAATCACAATTTTTGCTTCTGATTTCCTTGATCCATTTCTCCAACACCAATAACCAAAAGATCTTGAAGCTCCACTTGAATTTAAGCTCCACCTCCGGTCATGTGAACAACCATGTTTCAAAGTTATATTCTTGTCTCCCTTCCTTGAACCCGATCGAACCTGCATGCCAGGTTATTCGTGCCTGTTTTGGCGCACATCACTGGCCTGACTAGCAAATGCCTTGCACTTCAGCAGCTAAAACAACAGTCCCAGGCACCACCGTCACTGATATAGGCGTAATCGGTGCTAATTCTGCCGGAATTGAAATCGCCCCTACGGATGGGATCAAAGTTCGACCTCTCTCCCTACTTCTGGAACCCGCATAGCCTCCTACATACCATCAGGGCGATCCCATAACACCTTGTGTCCACTAGTTTCTCTCCCAACTGGTCCATGATCTGGTTGAAGATGAAATTGTGGGTAGCCTCGCTATCTATCAACGCTACATCCCTGTCTACTATTTCTCCTCTCACCTTCATGGTGTGATTTGAAGTGAATCTCACCACTGAGTTTAAGGATACCTTTGCCACGTCTAAATGCAGTTCTTCATTCCTCCACCACAATTACCTCATTCCCAACTTCCTTCTTAGATTCATCGTCATCACAGAAGGTGAGAACATGAAGAGATTGATCTTTACACCTGTGCCCCGGTGTATACCTCTTATCACATCTGAAACATAACATCTTCACCCTCTTCTCATGTAGATTATTCTCAGTGAGCTTATTGTAGTTTTCCTCGATCCCCCCTCCTATAGTCTTCTCATTTTGGATCTCCCAAGGAATACCCGGTGTCGGCCTCTTGGGTTCCAAAAAGATAGTGGTCGTCTGGTATGATCCTCCTTAATTGCTACCTCTGGCCCCCCCTCTCCAAGTGCTTTTGGTCCTCCATTAATTGGGCAAGCTCCATAGCCTCTCCTAAATCTTGAGGCCTTATCACTCTAGCTGTAGCCCGAATCTCTGGTTTGAGCCCTTTCATAAAGTTTCCCTCCAGTATAGTCTTTGAAAGATGGTTTGTTCGACTAGAAGGTACTCAAGCCTCTCACAGTATTCCACCACTAATCCCTCTTGAGTAAGAGTGAAGAACTGCTCATATAAGTCATCTCCCGTGCTGGTTCGAAAACGTTCCAACAGGTAGTCCTTGAACTCCCTCTAGCTCCATATGGGCCGCTTCATATCTCCCCATTGGTACCATGCCAATGCTTCCCCTCCAGGCACAAGCCAGTTGTCGTCAGTCTCTTCTATTTTATCAACCCATTGACAGCAAAATACATCTTCACCCTCTAGATCCACCTTGTGCATCCTCCTCCTAAAAAACAAGCATCTTCAGCTTTTGAGAATGAAGACTCCAATGCTTCTCCTCTTCCCGAGCTTTGATATCAATTGATGTGCCTCAGGATTTGATCTTATAAGAGGTGTCTTAATTGGGCTTGCGAGGCATCTAAATATGTCAGAAAGGATATATATAAGCCTCGAAAAAGATCGAGGATGAGTGGTCTTAAGTTTCCATGCAATGGTGGCCAGCCAAGTAGTGGAATGGGGATTTTGATTGAGAGCTCTATATTGAGAATTTGGGAGAGCCTGGCCTTGAAAGCTATTGAAATTAATAGAAGAACGTGTCTAGTTTTTTTTCTGGAGTGTTTAACACATTTTCGAGGGTTTTAAATCGACCAAATGGAATTTTGAACAAGAAGATTAGGCTATGCAAGATGGTTCAATTAAACCGCCAACATTTTGGTGGTTCAATGGCCAGTTTTTTCAAATTCGATCCGATTTTTCTGTAACTCAGCTTTTAAACTAGACTGAATCAATCAGTGCACCGTTTCAAAACTCAAACAATTCGGCTAATCGAGCCGATTCGATCAATTTCCAAAACACAACAAACACAATTGCATCTTCAGAGCAAGGATTTTGCCTCTGATAGTCTTCATCAACCAAATGCATACATAACTTGGAACACTATCCTGTAGAATTCTTTGATTTGTGAGAAAGCTTCTTCCTTTATATCAACTGTTTTTTTGACAACTATCTATAGTAACATAGTATGTGACCAGGGTGAGATCATATCAACATCAGTGCACCGGATCCCATAAGAACTCTGCAGTTAAGTAAGCTTTGGGCGAGATTAGTACTAGGATGGTTGACCTTCTGGGAAGTTCTCGTGTTGTACCCCTTTTATATATATATATATATATATGTCATCATTTGGTCTTGTTTTTGTGTTCTTTTGTCAGCCATCATTACCTGTTACAGCTTGCTATCAACTTGCAGCTCTCTTCTCCTAGTTCAATGGTATACCCAGCAGTTTCTTACATTAATGGCTCTCTTGTCTCTTATTATTGCAAATATTTGTGCATGATATCTGAATTTTGATCATTTACTAAATTATGATATTTTTATCTTTGTTTTTGTTTGATTCTCATCTAAATATTGAACTTCACAAAAAAAAAAAAAAGTGTTTTACTTTTTGTCAAATTCTCAATAACGTGCGAATATATGATTGAGTACAAAAAAATGATATGAATGTAGCTTATGGCTTCGTTTGGGGCGGCTTTCTCCATGCTTTTTTAAAATAGCTTTATGGTACAAAAATTTTTAGTTCGAATAATTTGTATTAGAAATCTGTTTTAAAAACTATAAAAAAGCCATCCCAAACGAAGTATATATTGAAGTCATCTTAATAGGTATTTTGAAGCTATTCGAAATTCTAAGAGATGGTTTTGTATATTTTTTTATATATATTTAGGGCTCTTTGGGATCACTTTTTATTTTTATAGAAAATTAGCTTGTTTTGAAAAGTACTCGTAATAGCTATTATGCTTGAATGTTTTTAAAAATAACTTTCATGGTTGTTGCCATCATCATTATGTCACCAATCTCCATCATTGCTTTAGTGATAGTAGAAGTTGGGGGTTTAAGTGAGTCAAGTTGACTACTGCAGAGCCCTGCATTGGGTACTCATACCCACACCCACCCACGTACCCACCTATACCCAATGATCATGGGTGGGTATGGGTATCCCTATAGCCTCATGGGTGGGTATTGGTGGGTTCTCAACATCAGAGGACAAACCGATTTACATTACTAATCACCATATGCATGCAATATATTATAGTAATTCTTACTATGTAGTGCGCAACACTTAATCACACTGCGACCACAATAAATTTTGATATGTGGATTGATAGTTTGCAGTCAGAGAAAGGGTAACAAACCTCAAGGCCATTAATATGTGGTAGATTGCATTCAAGAAGAGTGGAAAGTGGGTATTTTGATATGTGGATTGATAGTTTGCAGTCAGAGAAAGGGTAACAAACCTCAAGGCCATTAATATGTGGTAGATTGCATTCAAGAAGAGTGGAAAGTGGGTGGGTGTGGGTGGGTATGACATCTCGAAAGTCACCATAGGTGGGCTTGGGTGGGCAAAGCCCTCCAACACAAAGCGTGGGTACCCAACCAGGACCCCTTGTAGGGCTCTGCTGACTAGTAAGCTGGCTCAAGCATGATTTGATAAAAGGCTTTTGAGTTGAACTCGGTAAGCTGACAAGTAAAGTTTGAGCCAGTTCTGACTATGCTTCCTAGCTTGCAAACTACCTCAATCTAAAAAATATTAATTCAAATTATACTTAAAATATATAATGATTTAGAATTTCATAT